TATATAAGATGTGTAGTTTTAGAAGTTTCAAAAAAATCTATTTTAATTTCAAGTGAATTATAGTCTATTGTTTTGGTATAGTAGACTTTCTCTTGCTCTTTTAGATTGGAACAGTGATAAGATATTTTGTAAACTGTATCAGTTCTCTCAGATGGCAAGTATGATGAACTGCATGTTATTATTATAATAATAATAACCAGCATTTCATTTCTGTGCCATGCTCTCTTCATATCTGGTACATTTCTTTACATTATATCTCTAGGAAGCAAGTAAAATAGTAATTCATATTTTATAGATTAGATAGCTATTGCTTAGAAATATTAATTGAATTTTTTATTCCTGCATTTGATAAATGTCAGATCACTGAGTTAAATTGAAGTCACTCGTCCCGTAGCAAAATTCAAACCTGCTGACCATAATGTGAACCTATGAAAATATTTGTTCTCTATGAATATTTGATCTGGCAATAAAGCAGAATAAAGATGTCATTGAAATAACATAACTATGTATGCCTATCCCATGAATAGTTACTTTATTAAAGATTTTTATTTCCATATCTATGTCACTCTCTTCTGTCAACTTTAACAAAAAATATAAAGTTTTTAATGTATTTATCATTTTCTTTACTTTATAGAGACATGAGGGCAATTAAGAAAATGTGCCTAATTTTTAAAGCTAAAAATTGGGAGGACAATCAAGGAAAAACCATCCATTACCTGGGAAAGTTATCTCACAGGGGTGCTCTGAGCCTCCAAATTCATAATGCACTGGGAATGGCTATGATAAGACAGAGGGCAGTGTGAATCCATGAGCGTGAGTTGGACCTTAGTTACGGAGGGGGAACAAAATGCATGGAAAGAATGCACATGTTCTGATGAAGATATGATGTTGGTTGTGAATGATGACAGAAATATTTTTCTTGCTTTTCTCCTCAGACAATTCCTGATGTTCTTATCCCATGAAGATGATTAAAAAGAGAAAATTTTCCAGTTATACTGACATAAGAAACACCGTTTTCTTTGAAATTACAACTGGGATCACAGCCAACATAGGTCTGCTTCTGTTCCACATCCTCATATTCCTCCTCAAGCACAGACCCAGGCCCTTTGATCTGACTATCGCTCAGTTGGCCCTGATCCACCTGGTGATGCTTGTAACCATGGGATTTATAGCTATAGACACTTTTGGGTTTGAAAACTTGGGGAATGACCTCTTTTGTAAATCAATTGTCTATGTAAACAGGTTGATGAGGACCCTCTCACTCTGTACCACCTGCCTGTTGAGTGTCCTCCAGGCCATCATGCTTAGTCCCACAAACTCATATCTGACAAAATTCAAACAAAAATCCACACATCACTATCCATATTGCCTTATTTTCTTATGGGCTTTCAATGTGCTTCTGAATGGTCGCTTCTTAGTCTCCATTGGTGCCACCCCCAATGTGACTTCACAGAGTCTCATGTTTGTCACTCAATCCTGTTCTCAGTGGCCCATTAATTACTTGTTCAGGCATATATTTTTCTTATTGGTGAACATCCAGGACATCTCCTTTATATGCATGATGGCTCTCTCAAGTGGATACATGGTGAGTCTCTTGTGCAGGCATAAGAGGCAGTTCCAACATCTTCACAGCACCAGACTTTCTTTGAGAACATCACCCGAGGAAAGGGCTACTCAGACCATTCTGCTACTTATGGGTTTCTTTATGATCATGTACTTTTTGGAATATGTCACCTTTTTTGCCTCTGGCATATTATGGAAAAAAAACCAAATTTTTCATTTCATCCATATGCTGGTGGGTAATGGTTATGCCACAGTGTGTCCTTTTGTGCTAATGAGCACTGAAAGACGAATGTTAAA